GCACACAGAAAATCAATCAATTATATTGGAAGCAGAAAACTTTTCCCAGTTATTTATTCACTTTAATGCTCCGTTGACAAAAGGGGGAATAAGGACTTTCAACATCTGTTTGACTATTGCATTTTACTAGGTTCACACTCAAGAAGGTTCGTTTGTCCCATTAGAGAAAAGAGACAGAGTATTGATAAGTCAGTTTCATTCGCCGGCTATGCTATTACTTCTGTTTTGTTTGCTATTGGGCAAATTCTATAGGGACACTTAATCGAGGGTCAGACCGATGTGGGCGTGGCGTTTGGAATTGGAGTGAAACTCTGCAAGCATATCTTGTAAATTGTTGCGTAGCAATATGACTACTCAATATGAGTACAGTCTGCTAAATTTAATTTATTTCATGCAAATCTATGTAAAAGGAATTTTGGGAATTACTTTAAAGTTAAATGAATATTTAGTATTATATGAAACTTAAGGTGAAAGCAGCAAATGCCTTACGAATTTATTTGATTTTAGTTTTTACAACTTGTAATAGACTAAATATTTCACGTTGTTTGGATTATGTATTTTGCATGACTTAAAGAAGTGTGGCATGTATTGCATATGTGAGCTCGAATAGATATTTATGTAACTCTGAAGTAACTTCTGCTCAATTTCATAACTAAAATTGATATTAACTTAAGCTAATGTTCTTCCCATGCGTCTTTTTGATAACCTTAACTTTTCCATGAAAACCGAATGCAGTTGAAAGTTTGTCTAAAGTTAAGCAATTCCTTTGTGCCAAGAAATTGTTTTAAATTCCTGTAGAAACTTCATAACTGCTCTTACAAGTTGGCAAAACTAGCCAAAAGTTGTACAAGAACCACTTTATTTTTTTTTTTTTTTTGTAATGCGCGACTTATTACACATATAACTCATACTCCATGCAGCACAAGAAAATTCTGAATATTTTTGTACAATAAATTTCATTTATTTATTTTGACATTGCCATTGAGGGAAATTATTTAATTTATTGTCGCGAAGAAACCGTGCCTTAATTACCGTAATTAATTGCATACACTTGGTGTAATATGTCTACCGGCAAGCTTTTGGCTTTGCTTGAACAAGCAGTAGTAGTTGGGACTTAAAGAGAATTTTCAATTAGCACCGCAACTGTCATCAGTTAAGCCCCAACCGCAGCTAATAATGAGCCGACAAATTACAGGCATCAACAAAACAAACGAAACGTACACAAACACACAACAAACAAATAGACAAACAAGAAGCAGCACGTGCCAGGATAGACATCTTACTTGGCTGCGTGACATTATATGGCAGCCGGCAATTCCTTTCTTGACAGGCTATATGAATAATGCCACTTGCTCCTAACACAAACTTAAACAGAAGTGCCAACTCGCATAGCTTGACTAAAGTGTCGCGTAATTTATTTCCCACCTCTGGCAAACGACTGACAAATGGCCTGATGATTTGGCCTGACTTTAACTGCAGTATTTTAGTGTCTTCTATTGTCAAGGACAACATGATGATTCCCTAAAGGTGTTGTGTAGCTGTTGACAGTGAATATTAATTGGAGTTTCGTTATGCTACAAATCTGGTACAAATAAACTTAAGCCTGCGATCAAACTTAAGCTAATGATCTTACCATTATGACGAGAAAATGCAAAAAAAGGGAAGTTGGACTGGTAATAAATCAATGAGACAGATGCCACAAATGCAAGTAGTCAACAGTATAAAATCTGAGGATATGAGTTTCTTAATGTGCAACTCCTGTTGCTTTGAAAATGTACGTAAATATAGTTCGATTGTTAAATATTTTATAAAAATCTTGTTTTTAAATCCAGCCCAGCAGAAGGTAAGGTCAGTTTTAATATTCCGTTCGATATGGCGTCATCTATCAAGTGTAAACCTCGTCTCTCCATACAGTCGAAAGTCCCGAAACAACCCAATGGTCAACGGCCGAGTTGATGAAAAATAAAGAAAACATGATTGTGAATTGAAAAATATCTTCAACGATGTCACCCATTGTAAATCTTAAATTACCACGAATCATATTGACTGAGGGCATTAAGGATTGAATCTCGTTATTTTGTTTTTAATAAGTCGTTAGAAATTCAAAAGGCGCCTGCTGTTGCTGCCTCTGCTGTTCACATTTGCATATTTTTACAACTGGGCTGTAAATTTGTCATCAGAAAACTATCAAACAAATGTCAACAGCTGTGGCGCCAAAGTTTTGCTTTCCAGTGGAGACATGCCTTCGCCCGATGCTGCATCCTTTAATGTCTTTAGTTTTGTGACAAAGCAACCAAGGTGGTGACTGGCTTTCAATCCACAGCAAGAAGCCTTGCATGGCTTGAATTATTTTAATGAGCTTTGTTGCAAAGGAAGTGACAATTTTAATGACAAGTCAAAGTTTTTGTAATTAGCTGGGAAAAAAGCAAAGTTTTTTTTTAAGAAAATACACAGCTGGAAGTTAAGATTTGTAAAGCATGGGTAAATAAATTATTTCACTCTAAAGTTGCAGTTAAATTTCCTAAAATTGGCTGTAATGTGATTAACAATAAAGTAGGTTTTTAAAATAGAGTCTGAAATAAATTTATAAAGCAATTAATATAAAAGCTCTAGATAGTGATCAGATCAGACACGGACTTGTAAACATGACGTTCTCTGACTTAAGACATTGTTTGTTTGTCAGGCATTTTACACAGCTAAATGATATTCTAACATATATGAATATTTTTCCCAATATGGAATAAATTATCATGGCAGTGGTGTACGCGTTAGATCGGAGCTAACACTGGCATACAAGCTTCCTGATCCCGGAAGTGCCACTGTCAAAATTTACGAGGCATAAACAAATAAATAATTTCACGGATTGCCGAGCGGCAATGAAATCTTTGCAGGCACACTTAATCAAGTAGAAAATGTTGGTAAAAACGCCTTGAATGATAATCTAAATATTGAACAAAACGGTTCCCATCAATACGATACCTAGCTACCATACTGCTGATACTGCTGATCGCCTGGTGAAAACTGCTACACATGGAATTAATACAAACAACTGGAAACAATTTTCTTCAATTTTATTCGACAAGCTGAACAAAAAGTCTGTCGGTTATAAATAAGTCACTTGAATATATTATTTAAATATTTAACGTGAATATAGAGCAGAAGATGTTCAGACAAATTGCAAAAGAAATCCAATAAAAGAGGAGCAAATTATGCAAGGGCTTGTAGCCATGATTCGCACTGCACATCGCATCGTCGCCCTGCAATTGAATTAATTAAATTTAAAACGTGTTTTTTTCGTTTATTTTACTGTCTCTTATATGCAAATTTATTGGTTTACGCTGGTCGGGCACGAGTTGTAATAAAAATTCCCCTTTTAAATTGCAATTGGCATTAATTGCTTAAGAAAGCGCCACAAATGTCGACTAACGAAGCCCGATTTAAAATGTGAATTTAAAATGCATATATAAATTAATTTATATTATAAGAAGATATGTTAGTTTAATTAATTTTACCGTATTAATATGTTGGATGATAATTTAATGTATCCTTTTTACTCTTATTAAACAAACATAAACGCAAAACTGTGCAAGGCGTATATGCGCCTAAATATATATGGAATGGCAATTTTAAAACATAATTAAATGCAGTTCAGCTCAGCTATAAATATCGAATTTTTCTCATATTTATTTATATATTTAGCGATGTTATTGGTTCACTTTGTTTTTAGCAATCAGAACTCTATAAATCAACTTTACTTAATTACAGCAGCTATTATTAATGTAAATAATATATCTGGGCGATGGTAAATACCAACATTATTCGATGGAAATTCAATAGTGAAAGCCAATTATCAAAATTAATCACAAGCTATTATGCCAATAAATAACTAGTCTGCTCTTACCAAATTTGCGCTAAAGGTTAGCCAAAAGGTCAACCATTGAAGCGGAGATAATTTTTGGATCAGGCAACCGAACCACATGATATAAATTTCCCGCTGGCGTACATCAATCATAAAGATGGATATACATTAGTGCCCTGTGGCAATCGCATTACGGGGGATACTCATTTGTATGGTACGTTTGAGTTGCCAATCATTATATTGGCGGCGGTCTGTGAGTGCTTCTTGTGCTTCTACTTAGTGTCAGATTGTGTGTTCGGCTTTGTTCTATTGTTGGCTGGGCGAATAATACTCGACTTATATAAAGATTACTAAAAATAATGGTATATTGTTTCTAGTTAGTCTAAACCCATATGACATAAGAATATTCTTTTGCAAAGATTTCGAAATGAATAACAAATGTATTTATGCTTAACATTAATAGTATATACGTTTTGTGTATGCTTTACATTCAATACTACAAATATGGTACTTTAGAATTTGCATTTCTGTCTTTTACCTGTAAAAGGTATAAGTACGTTCGGTCACGGACCTTTTGAAGCACATGCATATATGAACTTTCTGTACATCAATATGCCATAATTGAATTTTTTCTATTCTCACTTGCAATCATTACGGCTCTACGTGTTGGCCACATAATCAAAATTGTATTTCAGCTGAAAATTACGCGACTAAATAGAAACAGCATTAAGGGTTGTAAGCATTGCCCAAAACAAGTAACAAATGTATCTCCAGGGTAAACAAAATTAAAAGCTTCTGCTGTTCAGTTTTACTGCTGTTCAGTTTTAATTAAAATCATGTCGAATTATTGCCAGGACGTGGTGAGTATTGCTGGCTCTAAAGTTACCCTCATCATTGTGCCCTTGTGTTTATTTATAAATCACATGTTCGTGACTATGAGTTCTTTTCGGTTCTGGTACATAGCCAACTCATGTAGGTAAATCAATGCGCGGAATTAAGTTACGATGGCGGTTTAAGCTGTGCGGCTTAAGCTGTGCACTTTAATTAGAGACAATAATTAAAACACACAATTTACAATAATGACAACTCAGTTCGTTTACAATTCAGTTCGATTACAACTACATTTGTAGAGAATAGTAGTCCTTGCCCGTAAGAGGAGCTAGTTTCACAATTTATATTTTATATTTTATGAAAAAGACAACAGCAACAAGTTTTATTGAAGCTTCATACGACTCACAGAGGATGCGACCGTGGCGATCGTTAATTCTCATCTTGACGGTATTTCTGGTCAACGCACGGCCTGGCAGTGTTCGACGTGGGCTGCTTGTGCTGGGCTTGCACAATCACACCGATATAGCCATGAGCTCGTGGCAGGAAGATTCCTTTCAGCCGGACTCATATTGCTGGCTTTTGCTTGGCAAGCTAAAAAGTTCAGGGTGTCCTTTTTTAAAACTGCTATTTCACAGCCTTGTGGCGCTGCCCGTGTACAACTTTTTATTGATTATGATTGGGTAAGGACTCACCTTGAGATTCACACACTTGCATTTTAAGCTCTCCTTATAGCTGGTACCTTAACAAAAGCGCGTCCTGCAGCGCAGAGCGAATTGTGTTGGTGCTTCAGCCTATCATGCAAAGATCGGCATCCACTTGTCCACTTGATCCACTTGTGGCAACAACTACACCAATGCCACCTTTACCACCGCCGCGTTGCAAGCGAAGACAAGCGCCGAAACCGCCACCGCGCCTTGTACGCCACTCAGTCACCTGTGGCAATAGTTATCCCAGCCAGAAGGATCCCTTTTCCACCTTGCATGGCTTTCCCAATCACGAACAATACAAAAGCCTGCGCCGAAATCTAAAGCGTGTGCTTGAAGGGCTGCAACAGCCACCGACTCCATCCCCACCACAAACGTGGCCATTGACACTGTGCAATTTGTCTCAAATAACTGAAGAGTCGGCCCAATCCTCTTCGACTGCTTTGAGCCTGGAGCTGCCCAAGAAGAAAGCCAAGCCTCCAAAATTGTTTCGCACGCTGTTTAAGCGACTGGGCAAGCCCTTTGTGAAAAAGACCACCCAAATGCAGTACGAAGGAAGTACGGTTAACACAGAAAGCAACGACAGCGTCAATAATAACAGCAACAAAAACGGCATATTTCATCCCATTTGGCAACGTTTAAAATTTCGGTCCAAGCGCAAGCCCGGTTCCAAACAGCCACTGTCGTCCAATATTTCGGATTCGGTTAGCTCCAGTTGCAGTTCTCGTTGCTTATATGCCTCTTAGGCGCACAGAATCGCCTGCTTTGAAATTGTCACGTAAATTTCGTTCAATGGAAAATGCGTGGCCATTGCAGAGCAGGTGGTTCTTAATATATCTTCAACTATATTTTGTTACTATTCATCCACAACATTCTTAAATAAATGATCAGCTTAAAGGCTTTTGATTCTAAGGAAATAGGTCCTCTTTTCGCTATTGGTATAAATACTTACTGTCACATTCAGGAATTTCTCCTTAAAATTTCATTTGTTGCTAGATGTATTCGTAATCGAGCGTTTCTCAAATGAAGTTTAAATAATTTATTTTCAATCCACTTAATCTACACACATAATAGAAGAATGTGTCTAAACTGGTTGTCCGCACATTTTGGCCAACGTGCACTTAAAATTCGAACCTCTACTTCATGAGCTCGTTTCGGTCCATGCGGTCTCTTTTTGCGGCCTAATTTGACACTTAACTAAGAGCATTTGGCTTTGACGTTGAGTTTGTCATTGTCATGGCATGCCTTTGGTATTGGAATCCAAGGGATAAGCCAGCTCATAATCTTGAAGCCGAAAACCAGAGTATCCCATACGAGCTCGCATGTGTTTGCATTTAATCCACTTTTATTGCGGCTTTGGGGAATGCGACCCTCAGTTATGCTGATTGTGTTGACACACTGATTGTTGTTGCCGACCTGGTTACTAAATATTTAAGAGGCTCACAGGTCGTTGTTACCTTTACTGAAACGGAGGGTTCTATCCTCAGATTGAGCCCAAATACATAAAAATTCAATTTGATTTGTACAAATTGACCAGCACATTTTCCAAATGATGTGTTTCGAGTGTCGAATTGAAATCCATTTAATGTGTCAGAAAAAATGCTGAAACTTTGTGATATTAGATTGATTGGATGTAAGAAAAATGTATTAACCAAAGCTAAAACTGTAAGGGCTAGTAAGCTTTTAACTCTTCCCCTTGGCTGTCAAGATGTCCACTTTTCCAATAAACGTGTTTTTTAGCTTTTACTTTCAGCAATGCGAAAATCAAGATATACCCCTCAAATCACTGTCAATTTTCATGTTGCCAATAAATTCATTTCAAACAGGATATTCTATTTAGAAGAAAGAAGATTAAGATACCGACCGAGGACAATGGAAATTTAAATAATGTAATAACCATTAATATGGTTATCTATACATCCTAAACTAGATTCAAGTGTTGAAGTCAAAGTTATTGACTTAATCGAAGAGATTTCGAAATGAGCGCAATAAATAGAAATATAAATAAAAATTTTCATTTTTATTTGAAAAACGATTTACAACCAATCGAAGTAAGCGAAGAGTCAGTCGCATGAATTCATTTTTTATAGCCTAAATTAAAATGATTTTTTTTCTGTTTAAATTTTGTGATTGAGTTTACCGAATATAAACATAAAAATTCTCGTACCACATACGCACGATTTTATTGTGATGTGCATAACAATATTTTTTATATTTATTGCTCGATAAATTAATATTCCAACTTTTTTATTATTTTGACGGAGGTTTTGCTTAAAATATTTGCGTTTGAGATCAGATTATAAGTCAATACGTAAACGAAGGAGCATTAAAAAAACGTGCCAGACAGAATTTTCAATCTTTTCCTTTTTCGTTTTTATACCCTGAACCCATTAAAAATGGGTATAAGGGTATATTGTATTTGTGCAAAATCCAAATGTATGTAACAGGCAGAAGGAAGCAACTCCGTCCCCATAACGTATATATATTCTTGATCAGCATCAATAGCCGAGTCGATCTAGCCATGCCCGTCTGTCTGTCCGTCCGTCCGTCCGTCCGTTTGTATGAGCGCAAGGATCTCAGAACCTATAAGAGCTAGAGAGCTAAAGCTGAAATCGAGCTTGTTTCCGATAATCGATAACTTACTCCGTTTCCAAACAATCGATAAAAATCGATATCGATATTCTGTTTTTTTGGCAGTTTTGGTAAATAATAAGAGCTAGAGTCACCAAACTTGACATATAGCTTCTAAAATAGAATATATATATGCATTTGATGTTGGAAGAAGAGAAGGGAGCTCCCGACTAGAACCTCTTACTTGTTTAATATTATGTCATGTAAATGGCTTGGGTATGCAAAGTAAGTATATTGATTTAGATAAAGCTACCTATTTATATGGCTTGAATAAATCCAGTGGAGAGAGCTCGATTGGGACAGTACTTCGTTTAGCATAATTTAATGAATCTCACTTGAGATACTCGAAAAAATGTGGACTTTGCAAGCGAAACGTTTTTTGGCCAACAACTTTTTTTTAATGAATGCCATATGATAGTAGGGATCCGTACGCCTTCAAAAAGGTATAACATTTTCAAATGAGATTATGGTTACCCGAGATTTTCAAAAAAATTTGAGATATTCAATCCTACCCCAATTTTGGAAAAATTGGTCGATTTGGTTCAAAATTTAGATTTTTATTCTTCTGATGCCGATCGATAGTACTGATCCTTACGAGTCAAAAATAGTATAAAATTCCAAAATCTGAGATTATTTGGCCGAGATAGTCTAAAATAATTATCAAAAAAGGTTGATTTTTCAAACGAAACGTGTTTTGGTCAACAACTTTTTCCAACCCATCAATTTTCTTTATTTTCTTTGAATGCCATATGATAGTAGGGATCCGTACGAATTCAAAAAGGTATAACATTTAAAAAACAGGATATATTTACCCGAGAGTTCCAAAAATAAATCGTCAAAAAAGTTTGTTTTTTTTAATGTTTATTGTATTGAATAAAAAAAATGCATACATTTTTATTACAAAACCGTTAACTTAGGTGGTAAGTTAATCCTGGTTGGCTCAACAGCTTTTTCCAACTCATCAATTTTTAATTTCTTGGAAGTAGGGATCCGTACGAATTCAAAAAGGTATAATATTTTAAAATCAGATTATATTTACCCGAGATTTTCAAAAAAATATTCAAAAAAGTTTTGATATTCGAACCTACCCCGGGTAATGGCTCTCAGGTAATAGCTCCGCGTGGAGATATGACGTTCCAAAACGACATAACTCCAGGCGGAGATATGACGTTCCAAAACGACATAACTCCAGGCGGAGATATGACGTTCCAAAACGACATAACTCCAGGCGGAGATATGACGTTCCAAAACGAAAATGGCTCTCAGGTAATAGCTCCGCGTGGAGATATGACGTTCCAAAACGACATAACTCCAGGCGGAGATATGAATATGGTTAAAATCGATATCGATATCATGTTTTTGGGCAATTTTGGTAAATAATAATACTAATACTAGCAAATAATCTTAACTAACTTTTATATACATATTTCAAGATGTATATATATAAATTGCATCAGTTGATTTTAATCCTTTCGTTCTTCTTTGAGATTTTACCCTTGGGCTATCAAATTTTGGTAAAATGAAAAATAATGCCCTTTAATTATGGCGCCAGAAAACCGAAATTATCGTGACAATCGAAGTGTATCTGACTGCTTTGCATTTTTTCATAGCTATTAATCAAAAATGACAGTTATTTTAGACGGGATAAACGTGATTGATTATTTTTGACCAACGGCAACAAAACGCTTATGGAATTTAGCTTTGTGCTTAGTAAAACTCAAGAAGTAAAAAATCAATGCACAAAATTATTATTTTGGTAACTTTAGGGCTCAGTTGTGGTTAAATTGGGATCAATATGCTTATACTTGGTCTTGTGTAAAATCAATTATATCTTGATTATCCTGCCATAATAAGTCAGTTCTGTTACGTTACGTGAAAACCAAATTATTACACATCTTTTAATATTACTCATTCATTTTTTAAATATTAAAGCTTAACAGTTTATCCAGGCATGCAAAAAAAAATGAATTTTAAGTATTAATTTAAATCCAAGCTGTCAGTAAAAGTAAAAAAAAATTAATAATTTGTTATGTGATAATGCCATTTTAATCATTTTAATGTGTATTTAAATTAATATTGATCCATAATTCATTTTTCGGATTTAACATATTTGCCTGCAGCTTAGGCTTTAAGCTACAAATACCTGTTATAAAACATTCAGCCAAGCTATTATTTTCAGCTTGACTTCGAAAACGAAAAGGCTCCATCTGCAACTCTTAAGGACTTGACATTAATTACACTTAGCAGAGTTGTAATTTTGTGGTAACCCATTTTTAGCCTTTTCTTGGGCACGTCACGTGTTACACGCTCTTTATGGTTGGCCACATTAACGCTTTGCCGAGCTGTTCAGATTTACATAATTAAAAGAGTCGGTTGACAACGGAGCATTCCATAAATGCTGGCCCCAGGGTTACATTTTGTGCCTTTGTTTAAACAGGAGCAGCATCTTCCTCAAACGAATATCCTACATTTAAATAGCTGTAGCTGATAGGCATGTTTACACAGTTATGACCAACACCCAAGCAGTCCTTAAGCATGCCCCAGCTGTGTGGGTGCCATCCTTTAATCAGGTGCTATGCACAAGATGTTTGCTTGCCTTGGTGCATTTGAAGGGTTCTTTTTGTCTGTCGAGTGAAATTAATATATGTTGTTTTTTCGGCGGCAAGTACTCACACAGCTAAGCTTTTATTGCACCTGTCGGTCTATTTGTGTCTATTCCCATAAGCCTCTCAGTTTCAAAGAGTTCCTATTGGAGCTGGGCAAGCTTGATTAATTTTGTGGAACACGTTCTGTTGTTATCATAAATAAGGTTTATATTTTTTATAAAATAGCCTATTTATAATTTGAAATGCAGACAAATTTGGGGCAAAATACATCAAAGAAATAATTGGCCTAGACAGATATTTGTAGCATCAGGTACCCAAAGAGATTAAATTTAAATTAAAGCAAGAGGATTTTGTTATTCATTTTAAAATATTTATTTTGCATACCTACTACTAATGCCTTAGCAGTATACATTCCCTTTTTTGATATTCTAAAAATGACTTCAACAATAAGCATTGAATGCATATAAATTTCCAATGCACACAAATTTGTCATTTAAAATTGAGTGTGTGGCAAGTGACAAAGTTGTTTTGCCCCAACATGAAACATTCTCCATGAGACAGTTTGACATTATATGATAAATGAAGTGCTCCAAAAAATATTAGTGGCTTACTCGTGGCTCAGGATTTACAGAACTTACACAGATACAGTAAAGGAAAAGGAAAAATA